CCCTCCTCCTACCCTGAAGAAGACGTATGAAAATATTTCCATAACTATTATGTTTTGTCAGTGTCCCACCTCCCACTCTCTTTTTAACTGAACTAAAAATTTTGGTACAAAAGATTATGAAAATCCCTTCAGTATTTCATATACCATTCCCTCATACCCATCCATCCTATCCCACCCCACCCTGCAAAAGGCAGGGGTATGTAGGGAGCAGGCCGTGAGCCTCGGCCCTGGCCTGGAGCTATTACCACCCTGTGACCCGGACCTGTAATTCCAGCTTTGCACAGTGCTTCTCGCACCCACCCACAGCCCCATAGGGAGTTGTCATGAGTTATTGTAGCAGGTGGGAGGCAGTGCTAACTCAGCCTGCAACAGCTCATTAAAACTCCCCATGTGGACCTCAGCCCCAAATAATTGTCCACCCCTGCAGTATAACATAGTTGCACTAGTAGGTCTCTTCCCACTATCACTTAATTCAAAACAGGTCAGGGGAATGCATCTACTAACTTAATTTCCTCCTCCCTCTCACCTGACCTGCAGCTTCTGTTCAGAAACCAGGCAGCCACCTCAGCCTGCCCAGGTTCAGATTTAAGAACTGGACCCTTAATAATAATTCATGAAAGAAGAAAGATTGATGTGATAAAAATGCAAAAAAATGGGATACCCTAGTCCTCCCTTGCTGTTTGGCAGCTAAGAAGCTTAGCGCAGGCTCTCACAAGTTCTTGACTGATCATCAGTGACGTTGTGGCCATGGCCCCAGGTGTCCTGTGATTCTACCGAATTGCACTCTAGAAGCTTAGCTTTATTTTTAAAATTAATTTTCTAGTCCTTGCAGTTGCAAAGGTGGTTCCCTCTTTGTGCAGTCGGTTGCATCTGAGTTTAATAAAAGGTCCTCAAACAATGGCTTAGATGGTAGAACTGCCCTGCTTATCTCACTTGGGGACCTGAAGGCTCTGTGCAGCCATTGAATTCAATGTTTTCCTGTGGCTAGGCACTTGGCATTTTTGTTTTTGTCTCCCTTCCATGCTGGGACCTGCTTGCAGCTGTCTCTTGCTCTGCTGCTTTCCTCCCAAAGGAGAATTGTTTGGATTACAGTGTATGCTCCCACTGCTGCTTGGTAGATCTGTGTGGGTGGATGTGTGGTCAGGAAGCTGTAGCTAAGGCGGGGGGAGGAAGCTGGAAGTGCAGGCTGGGCAACAAGGATGCCTAGAAAATAAAGCAGTAGTCAAGGCTGGAGCTGAGGATGAATAGTTGGTGCACATGAGCAGAGGAAAGCCATTCAGGGCTTAACCACCCCAAAATTATTATAATTACCAGGAACCGATAGAATTGCAGTGTTGGAACACAGAAAAATCCATTTAAAATAGTTGTTGAAAAAATGTTGACTTGCAGATCAGTGAGTATTTTGAATCAACTCTCCCACTTCTGTGCATATGTGCATACCTACACTGCACTTCAAGATAGGATGATAGCTTGCGCATGCCTACCCAGGCTAGCTTTAATCTAGCTAAATGATTCTCAGCCAGGATGTTCTGGTGCCCTGGGGTGCCACAAGATCCTTTGGGTGCCTCAAGGTGCCAGGAAATAAGTGCAAGCTCAGCTTTGTTCCTGCCTAGCCAATGCCCCACCTCCATTGCCTGGTTCCTCTGTATGGAAGTAAGCACTGTAAAATATAGATTAGTTATTTATATTGGGTGCCACTCAATTCACAAAAGTTATAGATTTGTGCCTCAAGTCCCCAGAGGTTGAAAACCACTGATCCAGCTAGGAGGGGTAACATGAAGATGCAGGATCACAGGCTGTGGCATGGACCATACAAGCCTGCAAGGGACCCTGGCACTTACTCAGAAACTTAGTTTTTTGGAGGGGAGTGCTTGAGGAGGAATAGCAGTAAGCTACTGGAAGGCCTCCAGTCAATGTTGATCAGAATTAGATTATCGGTGCCTGACAAAAAATAAGCCCAAGAGCCTTGGCTAATGGCATATAACAATTTATGACAAACGGTTGATGGAATAAAATTTTTTCAGTTAGGGTAGCCAGACTATCTTAATGATACCTTCATTGCAGTGTTTGGAGGAAACAAGACTGCCATATCTATCCAGAACAAATGGTTGAGTCTTATGACAAAAGCTAAATTGCTTTGCTCTTAGTTTGTGCAGTTGCTGTATTGGAACTGCACAAAGTAAGGAAGAACGGATGATAAATGACTGATTAGATGAAAATTATACTGAAAGCATTATCGCTGTTAGTACTGGAAACATGTATATATATAAATGTAAACAAGGTGGAAGCATGTTTGTGTATCATGTATAATTGCCGATACTGAGGAAGGAAGAAGGAAGCTATATTTTCACACTTGATTCTTGCATTCAGTTTAAAAACATAATCACAAATGAGCAATGACAGCAGCAAGCATTTAGTAGGGTTATGAATGGAGAATGCCTTTACATGGTAAATTGGGAAATCTAATCCGCCCAAGAGAGGATGGTGAGGGGGCTGGGTATTTGTACTTGTTGGCTTCCTTTAGTACTCTAAATTCTGGAGGATTGTAAGTCTTATTTGGAAGTGCTCACATGTACCCTTAATTGGGCCTATGTAGCATCCAGTCCAAAATAATTTGTTCTAGTTGTGTTCCTTGAGCTATTTAGGAGCAGAATTGATTCTCTTTGTTCCCAGCAACCTTCCAGTTTTGAAAATATTTGAAACAAAAACACAAGCTGCCAATTATCCAGTCAGACAGTTTCTGTTTATATGTTTGCTGTCCAAATCCAGACCCTGGAGGTGTGCTTACGTGTGCAAGCAGAATTAACGTGCACATGGAATGAATATGCATACAACTCCAGTACGTGCATCTACCTTCATGCTGTTTAAAGAGAGAAAATGTTTTGGTGTAAATGGCTTATGAGTTGTATACCTATTTGATAGCTAGGGCAGACTAATGGAAACACTCTTTCTGCAAGCAGCTAGACTGCTGAGCACAGCAGGGACTTCTCCACACCATCAGAACTGCCAGAAAGAAGGAAGCCTGAACAATCTCTGTTTCATCAAAGGAAATTAGAATAGAATAAATGCCTGATAGGAAAGAACTGACTCAGAGCAAAGCTAGGAAGGTGATTGGCATCCTTGCCCACTACTTTCAGAACGTTTGACAGAAGAGAAGTGTGATCTCAGTTATACAGTACACATGCCATTGAGGCTCCCTGTCCTTCAGGTTGTTCTTTTTCTAGCAGAAAACAACAGTATCTTTTAGGTGTTTGGTAAAACAATCAAGCTGTTTGTTAGGCCCCCTCTACACATAACAGGTATTTGGGCAATTAATTGGTTAATTGCACAGTTACCTTCAAGATGAGTTATACATGCACAGTAGCTATCACACAATAAAAAGTTCCAACGAACTATAAAGTTAGACCTCAAAAATATGTACTAACTTCGTAGCTGATTGCTATCAAGTTTTAATTTGCACATGTAGCAGGATCTCCCCTGCAGCTGGGCAGCCCTATCAGCTGACAGCTCCCAGCCACAGGGGTGCACTATGCCCAGCGTGAAACTCCCAGGCCTGGCGGATCATGGTAGCCATGATCCCCAGGGCTCGGGGGTGCGTGAAAACCCTGGGCTCACACAGGCCACCAGGATCGAGATGGGGCTCTCAGTCCTGGTGCTTTATTTTTTCTGGAAACTAATAACAGTACTTTTTTTCTATTGCTGCTAATTGCTCCATTTGAGGGGCTTGTTTAATTCTAGTTAAACTACTAAAGTAAATCCATGGGGTTGTTTTAACATCAGGTTTGGCAGCCTGTTTTTTGTTTGTTTTTGTAAACTGCAAAAAGTTGGGCTTATTCGGTATTTTCTTACTTGTCTTCAGATATGTATTATTCAGATTTACACATGAGTTGTAGATAAAATCGCTCTAGTGATTCTAATATGTTGTGTTTGCATTCTTCTTTCTAATACGTTTTTACTTTTATTTAGGTCTCATCTATAGGAATCCGTTTTTAAATCAGTTCCCATTGTAAGGTAATCAAAAGATTAAGAAAATGCCTCCAAGACCATCGTCTGGTGAACTATGGGGCATCCACTTGATGCCACCAAGAATCCTCGTAGAGTGTCTTCTACCTAATGGAATGATAGTGACTCTAGAATGCCTCCGTGAGGCCACACTACTCACTATTAAGCACGAGCTCTTTAAAGAAGCAAGAAAATACCCTCTTTACCAGCTCCTCCAAGATGAGTCTTCTTACATTTTTGTAAGTGTTACACAAGAAGCAGAAAGAGAAGAATTTTTTGATGAGACACGGCGACTTTGTGACCTGCGGCTTTTTCAGCCTTTTCTAAAAGTCATTGAACCAGTGGGCAACAGAGAGGAAAAGATTCTGAATCGAGAAATTGGTAAGATGACCTGTGTTCAAACATTAAATCAGTTTTCTTCAAAATAATGGGAAAGGAGTTGAAATGGGTGTGCGGTTAACTGTCAGTTGTCATTTTCTACAGTATTGCAAAGTTTGGAATTGTCTTGAAGGACCTCAGAGGTTGTGATATGTGAACAGCTATTGTAGTAAAGCCAGCACCTTCTTTTGCGTTATGTACCTAAAATGTGGAGATTTTAACACTAGTGTAGCTTCCACTGTCGTTGAATCCCGATATCTTTATTATAATTCACTGTTGCTTAAGGTCTGGATTGCTTTGGGAATGGGACATATCAGGGTAAGGAGCACCAGTGTATTTGTTGTTTTATAAAATGTCTGTGTCTTTCTAAAACTTCCAACGTAAGTGAAAAGCCATGTAACCTGCTGTGGGTGGAAAAGGGGCTTGAAAAATTCGCTTGCTCATGGTGAGTATGAAAATCCCATGATGAGTCAGCTTTCTGCAAATCCAAAGCCAACTGTAAAAGGAAAAGCATCTACCCATTACGACTTGAAAATAACCTTACAAATCATGAATCAAGTGAAAATGGGTATATTCCTAAGTCTGTAAGGAGATACCTGTAACGTCTCTCTTGGATGAGATATACAAGCAGTTTCAGATCGTTTAGTTTGGGGGGGGGGGGCGTTATAGCTATCTGTATCAATATACATATAGGTATAGACTTACTTTATTTTTTCATCTGACCCAAATACTTCTTGTAGTTGGTAGCACAACTCCTAGTGCGGAAGCAGCTATATCAGTATGAGCAGTTCTACACAGGAGCTGCATTCTAGTTAGGTTTACTACTATAGTTTAAACGTATGATACGGTTTTACATGTAAATAAGGATTTGGGTGGTTTTGAATATCCTACTGATTCCTACTGGCTGCTTTCAAGGGCAGGATCTGTAATGTTTTCTGAGGGTCGGGGGAGAGACTCAGCTCAAGTCCAGGACCCAGCCACTTCCACTGCTTTTCCCTTCACCCAGCAGCAGAGCAGGGGAGAAGGAGAAGCCCTGGGTGTCCAGTTGTGGTTCTTTGCAGTCACCATCCCCTTGTTGCAGAATGCCACCAAAGCCACAGCTTCACCAGCCGTAGCTTGCTGACCTGTGTCCCATGGTGTTCTACCAGTGATGTCAAGTATGAGCAAGTGACAGCCTTATACTCAACTCCAAGGATGACCACATGAAAAATAGGCTAAAACAAGTGATCAAAGAACTAACCAGTGTGACTGAATTTGTACTAGGGCCATACCAGTTCAACTATTCTGGAATAGTTACAGAACTACTTATAGTTTTCCCAAACTGTAGCAGCATAATGGGGGACCTCATAAATAGCAGTGAAATAGCCCAGAATTTAGAAATCGGCCTGATGTGGCCAATAATTTGGCTAAATAAAAACCGCTCCCCAGACGAGCTACGGCTCTGTCCCACGCCTGCCCTGCCCCGGCTAAGCAGCACCCACTCCAGCCCCTGCCCCATTCCCTCACTGTGGAGGGTGTTGATCTGCCCCACCTCCTCCACCCCATGCCCCTTCCCTCCCCCTCCCCTTTCATCGCAACAAACTTACCAGCTGCACACAGCTGTATCAGAAATTGGGTCGGTATCAGCTGGTGTGCCTCCTTAAAAAATGGCGATTGGTATCGGCACCCAAAATCTCTATCGGTGCACCCCTAGGAGGAGCATGTCATAGTTCGTTTGGGGAGTCACCATTGTAATGCCTGTTATATTAGTAAATGTTTAGGATTGGGAATCCAGAAAAAAGATGGCAAAGCTGATAGGGAAATACAGATTGCCCGGATGAGGGACCAACAATAGAGGGATGGGGGTGAGGAGGGGAGCGCAACTAGGTTACAGGAGAT